TTATTATATTATATTATATTATATTATATTTATTATATTATATTATATTATATTATATTTATTATATTATATTATATTATATATAACAATTCCATTATTATTCCCCCCCTCCCCGCTAGTACGTATTATTTGGAAAAAGCGTGGGCCGCGTCAAACATCATTTCATATAGTTTTAAATCATGTCTACATTTCCAACAATCGCCATCATATTATTACATAGCTGATATCATTAAACGCCCATCATTTTCCAACCTCTTATCCTTGTATCCCTGTGTCATCTTCGTTGGTGTCCCCCCCCAAACCCTCTCCCACCCATTCCCATCCTTTTGGATGTGTGGGGGGCTCACAATCGAACCCAATCTCCAAGTGGGGTCCCACCAAGGCCCAGGAGAACAGAGAAGGACTCCAGGAACAGGACATTGCTTTGGCCATTTTTGAGTGCCAAATCCGTATCTGAACACACTCACCCCTCTCAAAGGGGGTGAAGCCGATAGCAAGTATAGATCGAGCCCCAAATAAGAATCCGAAGTGTGCTTTAACTGCCCCCTAAGCTTAATTAACAATTCCATTTAATTAAGTACAGTTAATCCCGTTTTCCACTTGTGTTTAATGGAGGCTCCCTTCTGTCACACTAAAAACGGCTATTTGGCAGCCGCGTGGCGGTGGCGCCGGCCACGTGTGGCATCCAGGAAAGTGTGTGAATTGGGCCTAGATTCAGGACCGGACGTAAAACCCCATTGGAGAAATGAAGGCCAATCTGGACTTCTGTCTCTGTGGATCCAATTCGGCTTTGGGCCGTTGGAATGCCCGAAGATGCCTGTGGGAAAGACCCCCGAAACCAATGAAAATTCTCCCAGGAGGCCTGGTGGCAAATGCCAGGTGAGATGGATTGGCAGTTTGATTGGCATCTCCTGTGTGGGAAGGTGCTCTTTTTTGAAAGACTGTGTTGTGGTCCGCCATTGGCGATTGGTCGGACAGTGAGGAGGTTTGGGGAGGAACACGGGCCAATCCTGGAGTCTGGGGAAGGCTCTGGTGAGGCCTCTGTGTCGGAGGCAGAGAGGGGGCCAGGGCCGTATGACAGTTCTCAGCTGCCTTCAGAGTCAGACATCAGTGAGGCAGACAAACAGCTGGAGCCTGTTCCCAGTGTGCGCATGCGCAGAGCTGCCAAAAGAAAAGAACAACTCAGAAATCAGAGTCGACTTGGAAGTAAAGTCACAGGTGGACAGTGAATGGCCCCTCCCAGAGGACATAAAAGAGGAGTGAAAGGGGAGTGGGCTTTTGCAGGAAACAATTTGTCCGTTCAGTCGTTCGATTCCTTTCAGGAGTGTGAAGATCTGTCCGTGAATCTCAGAGACTCTGTGCCCAGCCTTTCCNAAATTATTGATCACTGTTAATTTTAATTTTTTTAAAAAAATGTTATTGTCAATTTTAATTGGGTTTGTTTGGGATATTCTATTTAATTTTTAAAAAACTTTGGTATTATGTGTTTCTTTTAATGTTGTACGCCGCCCTGAGTCCTTGGGAGAAGGGCGGCATATAAATCTAATAAACCTAACCTAAACCTAACCAATCCCTCTAAAAACCACAGACAAAATATACCTCACCCAGTTCAAAATAATTTATCACAAAATGTTAACAAATGCACAGAAAAACCTAGAAACATACACTTGCAGCCCCCACCTCAGAGTGGGGGCTCAAAGACTATACCCACGAAAAGATTCCATAAAATGACAGATTTCCCCACTGACTCATGGGTGAAGAATGGCTAATCAAATAAACAGGCACAAAACACCTTTAGAAAGGCCTTTTAGAATAAATGCCTTTAGAGCAGAAGAATAGTATCTGAGTAAGTTGGCAGAGTAGTGTGAGCTATATAAGCTATGGTTATTTTGATAGTCAGCAATAAACCATGGTTAAAACACATCTTGGCTTTAAAATATATGGATTCAACCTCTAAACCAAGAAATAGCTTTGTTTTAAGAAGCAAATTTGGACTACTTGATGAAGGATGGACCATTAATTTTCTCCTTTAATATAACTTGCTATCATGAATGGAAGAAACAACAGGTCCAAAACTAGTTTATTGTATAGGACATATTATTCATGAATTACCAGAGTGTTTTTGTAAGTTACTTTGATTTTCATTTAGGGATGTTAGACATGATGTGTTTTTATGAGGCGCTAATGGAATGTAGGCACCATTGATTCAGAAGTCTGCCCTTCTTGTATGTAGGTTAAGTGGGGGTAGGGAGTTGAATCCTTTCTGATTTTAGAGCCATCCACTTTATCATGCTCAGGCTCTTCAAACCTGATATTAAAACAACTGAGCTAGGCTAGGAGAAAATCACAAAGCATAAGAGATCTTGGCAGGAACCAAAATGCTAAATATAAACCTCTTCTCTCCCAGATCATACGTAAACAGAGCAATCACACAAACTTATGCAGTACTTCTACCAGAAAGCAGCTCTCTGCGTTTCTTAGTCTGTGCTTTCCTAGGAGGGAGAGGCAAACATTTCAGGTGAACTCATTCCAACATTTTGTGTGACCTAACCTCCAAGGACCTAGAAATGTTGCCTAAAAACTTGTGAGAACATTCAGTCTTGCACACAAGCAAGATTTTGGCCATTTAATTTTAAAATTTTGGAAGTCCTTGATACCTTCTGCCTCTTGAACTTCTATTCCTCTATCCTTTTATCCCCACTTCCAAATTTGCCGGACAGTTTGTGAAAAGCAAATCAATGAGATGAGGATAATTTTTAGAATTCTCTCTCTCTCTCTGTGTCATCTATTTAACACATTCATACAGCCATCCATCCAGGGGTAAAAATTTTAGCAATAGGTTCTCTGCCCAGTTGCTGGATGGGTGTGGCCATGGTGGGCGTGGCCTAGTCGCCTCCTGCACTACAGCACTGTGTGTGTGTGTTTTCACCTTCCCCAGGCTCCTGATGCTTTTTTGGAGCCTCCGGGAGGGCAAAAACTGCCTCCCGTGGGCTCCAGAGGCTTTCCAGGAGACCCGCTTTCCCCCTCCCCAAGCCTCCACGCGGACCCTGCGCTTACCTCGCATCCAAAATGGCCGCATGGAGACTCCTGGGAGGGGTGGGGAGGGGTGGTCGGGGCCAGCCAGGGGTGGGATTTGGAGGTTCTCGGAACCGGCCATAACATTAGCTACAAGTTCTCCCGAAACCAGGTGCGCCTGTAGCAGCTCACCCCTGCATCCATCTCATGTGATTCTAGGCAGCTTATAATAAAAATAACAAATTATGGTTCAAAGGGTACTTGTGAAATGTTGTCACATTTTCGTTGTGTGTTGAAAGATGGGAACAAATTTTGTTGCTGCAGGACTTTTCTCCTAACCTTTATAATTATTATTGTTTTTCCTATGGTCTCCTCCTTTTGACCCATCTGCCTGCTTCCCCTGAACAGATCATCTTTGCAGATGAGTGCACAGAAGCTGAAGGCCGTCACTGGCACATGCGCCATTTCTGCTGCTTTGAGTGTGAGGAGGCCCTAGGTGGGCAACGATACATCATGCGTCAACGTCGCCCCTATTGCTGCCGTTGTTACGAGAGCCTCTATGCAGAATATTGCGATGCTTGCGGGGAGCACATTGGTAAGGCAACCTGGTGCCTGGAGAATGGGAGGGCTGGATTCTACCTGCATTTCTTGGTCCTAGGGCCCCTGGGGGGGGGGTCCTCAAGACTCTCTTGGCGATTGGCAAACTCAAAATTATTAGCAGCCTATGTCGAATAATAGGACTGGATCCAGGTAGGAGGGCATGGAGGGGAGACATTCTTCCATCATTGGTTTTCTAACAAGGGTGCAAAGATATCTGACTGCTGTTTCCTAAATGAATCTAAGTTCCCAGTATTAGCTTTGCAGTGGTGGGTTTCAAAAATTTTTTTGAACCTACTCTGTGGGTGTGGCCTCCTTTGTGGGAGTGGCTTGCCAGCCATGTG